AAATAAAAGTGAAGAACGAGGATCTTTTTGACTGCGATGGATGTAAAAATGCAATCTGCAAAGAATCTGGTAAGCTGACTGCATCTGAGATAAAAGTCCTTCAGTTGGCTGGTGGACGTATGATGAAGTTTTATTGTGCGAATTGTCTGAATGGAGAAGCAATAGGATTGCTCAAGCAAAGATATTATAAAAGAAGATAAACAGAAATTATTACTATGCTAAAAAAAGAAATTGAAAATATAAAGAATATAACTCCTCAAATTGAGCGCGAATGCAACATAAGCTATAGCAGTATCACTAAAAAACAGAAAAAAAATGTTATTCTAGTCAAACCAAAAGGTAATAACCAAAATAGTGAAACAACGAAAACGAAAATACAAGAAAACATTAATCCAAGCAACTTGGGAGTTGGAATTTCAAGTGTTAAATTTGTACGAGATGCAGGAATTGCAATTAAATGTAATGAAGCACGGGAAGGTGTTGAAAGAGCGTGTGAGGTCATTAAACATAAGTTAGGCCAAGAATATCAAGTGTCAATTCCTGAAAAACGAAACCCGAGGATTATTATATTTGATGTGAATCAAGCTGAACTGTAGGACGAAGGGGCATTTTTGGATAAAATTATTATATATATGATGCCCGTGAGCTTAAATACTGCCCGTGAGCTTAAAACAATTTACTCGTTTAAGAATCGAAAAGGATCAATGAATGTTGTTCTTCAGATGGACAGTAGCACATATAAATGCAAACTTTAAATATACAGAACATATATTATAAACACAGAGCGTACGATAGAAAATGTGAGTCTTATAGACGAATAGTTGAACAACTGCAAGAACGGATCAATTATCCAGTACTATCTGGCAACGCAAATAAAATATAGCAATCACAAATGCCAATAGTATATTTGAACATCCAAGGACTTAAAACTAATAAAACGCAACTGACATGGTTGATAAACCAATACAAGGCTATAGTAGTGTGCCTTTAGGAGACTCATGTTACTAATGACTATGCACATAGTGAAATAGACATTGATTGTTATAACAGCGTCTGTTGTTATTCACAAAGCTCTCATACCGGAGGAACGCTAATATATGTTAAGAAGAAATACAAATTTAAAAAAATAATTGACTTGAAATGCAACAAAAATATTTAGCTTACTGGGCTTAAAATGACAATATATAAACAAAAATACTATATTTACAGTCTATATCACTCACCTAGTGCAAGTGATGCTGAATTATTGGCAAAACTTGAGGAATTACTGGAGAATATGTCTTATGATGCTATAATAATACTGTTGGGAGATTTCAACATAGATTTAAGCATTAATAGTTTTTATGCAGAAAAGCTCAAGTCTCTTATTAGCGAATATGGTCTTGTCCAGTTAATTGGACAATCTACAGGAATAACACATAACTCAGCTTCAATAATTGATCTTTTACTCATATACAATAAAGAGTTAAAATATAAAGTACATTACACTTCTAAAATAACTGACCACTCGATTATATCAATAAAAGTAGACGAAGTTCATTTGAAATATACTGAAAGAATAGCTTTCCGAAATTACAAATCAATGGACTCAACTGGATTTCAGCTTAGATGAATGAATATGACATGGAATACAAACACAAGTGATATAAATATATTAGCTAACAATTGGACCAATAATACTGTTTGTGCGTTAGATGAATTTACCCCATTGGAGTATCGAACCATATCAGAGAAATGGGGAAATAAACTATGGTGGAATGAAGAAGTAAGTAATGAGATTAAAATTGGGGACAAAGGCGAATCAGGATTGGGATGCCTTTAAGCAACAGAGGAATAGAGTTGTGTCATTGATAAGGAAGACAAAAACTAATTATTATCAAGCAAATATTGATGAGGTCATAACCAAGCCGGCTGAAATGTGGAAAACAATAAAAACAATTGTTAATAACAAAGGACACGAAAGCTTGAAGATCGAATTGTTATTTAATAATAAGATCGTCACTGGCAAAGAAATATGTGAAAACTTCAATATGTTTTTCCTAAATAGCATTAAAGAAATCACTAATGATATTAAACCGAATAAAACACATCTTGAGACCATTGAACACATAAATACTGAGCATAGAATGATATCATTCCGCAAAATAGAAATGTCTGATCTAAAAGCTAAATTAAAATCGATGCAAAATAAAGAAAGTAATACTGATGGAATTACCGTCAAAATACTTAAAGATGCGTTTCAAACAATTGGTGATAAAGTATTGGATCTAGTAAATACAAGTCTCGAAAACGGTTCATTTCCATCAAAATGGAAATTGAGTATGATTGTACCTATAGAAAAGAAAACCGGTACTATTCAGAGTGATGAGTTTAGACCAATAAATATAGTACCACCTTATGAAAAACGGCTAGAGATTTGTGTTAAAGAGCAAGTTGTTGACTTTATTGAAAGAAATAAAATTTTAAGTGACTATCAGGCCGGTTTTCGAAATCAGAATTCATGCGAAACTGCTCTACAAAGTGTTTTACTAAATTGGAAGGGTGCATTGCAGGAGGGAAAAATGATCGGTGTTGTGCTCCTGGACGTTAAACGAGCATTCGAAACCATAAACAGACAGTTGCTTCTGCTGAAAATGAAAAAGTATGGGTTCGGAGATGTCATTCTTGATTGGTTTGGGGAGTACTGTTGGTGAAATAAAGTGGACACACTCTTAATGTATGAATAAAAGTATATTGATAAATGATAAAGAACAACACAGTACAAAAGTAGATTTCCGAACACGA